TCCGCTTGCCGATTAGTCACCCGGAGGAAATTCCAGATTTTTGGGACCTTCCGCCCACCCCACGCGACCGTCTCCCACCGCTAAGGGCGCATACTAAGGGCGGTAAAGACGATATTAGACACGCTGATTGGCAAATGCAATCGTTAATCCCAACAAAAATCCCTCTCACGGACGTCCGAGACGCGATGTCGGAGAGTTGAGTCGTCGAGTAGTCGTTCAACCTCCACGAACAAGGAGAATCAAGGAGGAACCAGCTCACATCACGCGATAGAAATAGATCAGTTTACAAGTCCCAATCATTTGTGGGTGGTCCTTCGAACCAGTATCTAGACGGCACAACATCGTGCAAACATCCACAAAGCCCGAAAGTTCATCGCCACAACCACGAGCATTAACAGTTGCCGTGTTAGTGTTAAACGAAGCGAATATACACACATATCGTCACGCTTAGAGATATTATTTCTTCGCGATTTTCACGTAACATACCGGTACGGTATGTAGATTACATCATGGAAACTTCGTTCCAATCGAGCGTGGACGCTTTCCTCCTCTCGATCCTCCCACGTACTTGCTCTTTCTCCCTCTTTCTTTCTGGCATGCAGAGATTCACCCAGTTCCCGAGGTGATCGGCCAAGGTAGCCACGGACACGCTTTAGCATACACACCGCGGCGAAGGTTATTCAACCCGAGCAGATCTCGTTCGTAGGCAACGCGGAGTAACGGGTTCCCGATGACTCGTGCATGAGGCGCCTCTCCACCTTGCCGGATTACCCGGTGGCCAGCTGCGTGCACGCGGCCCACCACTTCTTCAAGCGTTCTCCCTGGCCGTGGATTCAGTCAGCCGTGCACCATTGTCGAAAGATCGTCCAGCTTGGACGACACGAGTGCCTCCTCGCCGATATTTTCTTCCCCCCCTCCCCCCGGTTATCGAGATATTCCAGTTTAGATTTCGTTCGAAGAGTGTGTTCAATTCTTTTTTATTTTTTTTTTTATCGGTTTCTTTCGATACCTCTTGATTTTTTTCTCGTAGTTTGCGACGTTCTTAAAGTTGAATTTTTGTTTCCGTTGCTTATCTACTGCGCGTGATTGGTGGTTAAATGCGGTTTCCGGGAGAGTTTTGAGATTCAGGTAAGAGCGTTCGAAGGCTGTTTCAGGGCTTCGAAGGGTGAAGGGTTGAGTAATTGAGAAGTATACAAAGAGTGTTCACGAGTTTGTTTGGTGGTTTCTGCTTTCTTGAATAGTACGTGCTCGTAAGTATTGCGCGCGATTTTCTAGAAGAGTTCTGAGATTCAGGTAAGAATGTTTGAGGACTGTTTGAGGGTTTAGAGAAGTGAATGTTTGAGTAATTGAGGAGAAGACGAAGAGTGTTTAGTTTCTGATTTTTAAAGTTGAATTTATCATCTAGTTTTGTTCGTTTCTTTCAGATTTTTCAGATTTAGGTATGAGAATTTGAAGACTGTTTGAGCGTTTGAAGAGGTGAATGGTTGAGTAATTGGGCGGGAGATGGGAAATTGCAGTTTCATTTTTGTTGCGTTTAAAATTGAATTCTTCGCTTTATCTCGTTGAAATTTGTAGCTTTAGTATCGTTGGGATAGTGTTTCTGTTTAATTCGAGTAGTGAATGTGAGAAATGTGTGTTTTTCTAAGACTTTCTTTTTGTTCCTCTTTATTATCGAAAGTCTGACACGTTTTTTGCTCGATGGTTGATAATAGACCAAGTTCGAGAAGGTAAAAGGGAGTTCAGGATAAATCGAAAAATGTGTAGAAAGTAATCGATTAGCTGGTAACAGACAAACTTTCTAGATATCCCCGAATTCTGGAAAGATGGCCTTCCAAGAAGGTGCAAAAGAATTTGCAATAACTCTCAATTCTAGGATTTGATATGTTTTACACAAGGTATTCGCATTATTAAAATCAAGAAAAGAAGAAATCTTTGAGAAAGTTTGAAGGAAAAATTTTAAGTGCTATTAAAAAAACACGAATTACTTCTTCTCCATAAAAAATTCCATCTCCAATTATCTCATTATCAAAAAGACTACTATTTCTTCTCACCATTGATCCTCTCATTCCAAAATTGTTTAGTAGCAACAAACAATGTGCACATTACACAATAAACGAGCCATTCGCAAAAATATTTTGATATTTTGAAAGAAATTCGAGGCTTCGATATGATACGAGTAAAATAAGAAAAGCTACAAGTTAAAAATAAAATACAATTCATTTGAAACATTTCGTAGAGAAAGAATCACACAAAAAATGTAACTAAAGGGAATAAAAATGTAGATAATTGACTATTGTTTGTAGCACACTTGATTCAACTTAAATTCTCGTTTAATTGAATTTCTCTTTTTGTCTGCAACTATCGACGTATCGTCTTCTCTCTGTCTACATTATTTTGCATACAAATAAATAAATAAATATGACTGATAATAAGGACTGATAATAAAAGGGTTAACCTACAAAATACGCTACTTTCGTTGCAATAAATAAAGTCACCTAGAAATTCTCCAAGGCTCTCTAAGTAAAACACAATTTACTTGAGCCATTTTACACACTCTGATCTCCAATTTCCTCGTTTCCATTATTCCACATTCTTCACCCGAATATACCCCACCCAAACGAGCCATAAAATTCAAGAATCCTCCGAATCGACCTAGAAACGCGTCGCTCGAACCATAACGAACCATCCAACTCCGTGGAACGGACCATCCGGCGAAAATACCGTGACGAGGATATCGTCGAAACGACACGAGTATTGAAAAGATATTCCTTCATAACGGTATGCCCGTTTGTAATCAACGATACCAAACGACGACGATTCACCGTGTCTTCTGACACGGTGGCCGACCTCAGACGTGAAGGATGCACCTTGTGAGCGCCGCCACATGCAAATGGGGACCTAAGAAGACTGATAGCCCGAATAGGTACCGTTACCGGACACGAATATCAACGAAAAAGATGCAACGGTACAAAACAGAGAAAGAAAAGAAAGGGGAGAAAATGCACGACGCCTTTACGACGACGTAGAGAAGCCACGGGGCGTATTGAATCGGATAAAAAAAAAGGAGAACGTTCTGCAGGTTATGGCGGATGAGGCTGTAATTTGATTTCGGATGCTTCGTTATGGCACAGTGTTTTATTTAACGATCCTTCTTGTTTTGAGATTATTTCGCACTTCGAGGCGCTTTATTTAGGTTATGTCAGTTAATTCATTTTTACTGTCTCCTTTGTGCCTTCAAATATTAGCTTTTTGTTAAAATTTTTGGAAATTGTTTCTTTCTTTGTGAGCTGGAATTTATTTGTGATGAATGAAGAATTTCGCCCCATTTGAAGAATGCGAAAGATTGTTGGGTCTGGATAAGCGGAAGTGTTGATTTATAATCAAGTGTATTAAAATTCTAGCAGTGTTTCATTTATTACCGACAAATTAGTATTGAACGTTCATATCTCCGGCGAATTTACAGCATTTTCAACGGAATAAATATCCTCAAGCGTTACTGGAATGCTTGAAGATCTAACGATTAGTCCATCCGATGGTTAGATCATCACGCCGTAGGATCATTAATGAAAAGTCGAATTCTCCGTTACATCGGATTCCTGCATCTTGATACTTCAACATCCTTCACGATGTTTTCTGATAATATTGCAGAAAATTACAGTCTCCGAACTAGAAGAGGCGGGTATTTGAAAGAAGAGAAATCGCCTGTTTAAACAGATGCAATTAGTAATACGAAGAATAAATTGGAAAATAGAACGAAACGAATAGCAATAATTTGCTTGAATAAGAAAACACAGATATTAGATGAATGAGAAATCCCATTGAGCGAAGGATAAAAGAATAGGAAGATTCTTTCGAAGATTACTAAAAAATAAATAAGAGTCATTTGACTTATGTTCATCTGCAAGGTTGCAATTTGGCTGCAAAAAAGGCACAGCTTAATGGTGTTCTTCCTCGGAAGAACAGCGAAGCTCCTCATTTCCATGCAGCTGGCATAGCAGACAGAGTGATCGTGGCATGGGGATCGAATACGAACGATCGCCTCGATCGAGACCTTCGTACGCAAATCGACGATCAAACATTCCCGGCGTGTTGCACTCGAAAACGATCGAGCCACCATCGACGACTTGCGTTACGTCATTCGTGTTACGCGATCATTTTCGGATAAGTCTCGAATGATTATCGGGCTAAATGATTCACCTCGCCGTCTGGTCTCACCTTGAAAACGGTCGAGGCTGATATTTGGAAGAAAGAACAAACGTTTCCTGGTGGGATTCGTTGGATTTGTAGGTCGAGGAGAAACGTGATTTTCGATTCTCCTTTTGTCTCTTGCACGATGTTTGCTTTTCTTTAGCTTATTTTCAGAATAATTTAAAGCGTGATTTAGTATCTTTTTAGATCAAAATTGGCGCAGAAATTGAGGATTTCGAGTGTGTGGAATGGAAAATAGAAACGTCAATCGTTAGAACTACTCAGAAAAAATCGACAAAAGGGTATTACTTTGTGAATAATTAATTTAATTACAACAGTCGATATTGGTGTGGGCAAACATTGTAGATACTGTAATCAGGAAATTAAGACTTGATAGAAATAGCACGTCGAATGGAGAATGGCAAAGTCAATCGTTAGATCTGCTCAGACAAAAATCAAAAGATTCATGTAGAATTTATGATTAACCCCTTGCACTATTTTTACGAGTCTGACTCGTGATGAAAATTTTAGGCCAAACTTGAATATCACGAGTCAGACTCGTTATCAACATTTCAGGCCAAACATGAATATCACGAGTCTGCACTCTGTCGTAAGATATCGTATTTCAAATTTCTACACTCGGGCTCCGCCACTCGGCTCTCTTCGCGACCATTCAGGCGGACGGGTTTGGCCTGGCTTTTCCCGAGGTTCAGCGTAGTGCAAGGGGTCAAAGGAAGATTGACGAAGAGGGAGTGGGTTATTTTACGAATAATTAATTTCATAACTCTGTCGATATTTGTTCCAGAGCGAAAATGCGGATGAAGCTGCTGAAGATCGTAGTGGTCCTGTTGCTGTCAGGATCGGGAGACGCCAGACCGCAGAGAACCGGTAAGAATAGCGATTTCTTACCATTCTTGAGGCAAGATGCCCGTTCGAGGGGAAACGTTTCCCTGTCACGCGCAAAAATGAAAAGGAAAAGGCGGCACTTCACGTGGAAATCGAACGCATCGATCGTCGAATAATCGTGAAATACGAGGGCTGTGTATTTGGTCGGTTGCGAATCAGTTGATGGATACGTTGTTCGTTTCTGCGAAACTTTCGATCCTATGGGAGAGACAGTAGCCTCTAATCAACCGAAGCGCTACGCAATTATCGGGATTATTCGTTTCCGAACCCGTGAAAATGTCTGAAATTATTGCGACACCGTGGATATCTTCATAAGATGTTTCGTGCAAGTGTACTTTTTGCGATGACATTTCCTTCGAACATTTCCGTTCATCGATCTCGTTTTAAGTTCAGTCTCCATGTTTCTGTGCTCAAAATTCAAGATTCAACGTTCAATATTGAAAGTTTAAGGTTCAATATTCAATGTTTAAGGCTCAACAATGTTCATGTTGAAGGTTCAATGTTCCAAATTTAATATTAAACATTTAACGTGTAAAATTCAAGGTTCAAATCTTAAGGATCAATGTTTAAAGTTCAAGGTTCAACGGTTAACCCTTTGCGATCGGCACATTTCTCTGGTTGGACTACCAGCTAGTCGGAGCAAATTTAGATTTTTAAAGTTATTTTTGCATAGTTGATTTATTATATATATAAGGATATTGAAAAACAGAATATTTTGAAACTGATATATTTTTTTTAATACATACTAGTTATAGTGCATAAAAATAAAACGTTTTAACTTTTGTAATTTTCCAAAGTATGATACTTGACAAAACAAAGATCATGCCGCCATAACGGCGACACCGATTTCTAGAACAAAATTGAAATGCCGCCACTATGGCGGCACCGATCGCAAAGGGTTAAAGTTGAGTGTTCAGTGTTCAAAGTTCAGCGCTTTATTGTCGAAGTTCAATCTTCACAGTTCAACGTTCAAAATTCAAAATTACAATGTTCAATTGAATTTTGAACGCGCGATGCTCAAATTCCAACATTTAAGGTTCAATTGGAATTTTCATCGCGTTTTATAAAGAAAAAAATTTCTTCCGCTGCGTTTACAATTTTCTTCCATCAATGGAAGCGTAACTTTTGCGCAAGCTATTCTTTCCCCCACCTAACCATTATGTCAACGACGTTCCGTGTCCTAGGAAAGCGCGCCTTGTAACACGTGATTACGCGAATCAGTCTGCGCGCAGATTGCACGTTTAAGCGTAATTCGCGGGAGTAGCGCCGGAAATTTTCTGACTGAACGATTGCACTTACATCGATCCCTCCTACACGTTACAAAATTCCATTTCGTAACGCGAAAGTTTCTTCTTCTTTTTCGTTATTCTAACCGGTCAATTACATCTGTGGCAAGCTTCCTATCGATAATCGACCATTCTGAAAGAATTCTTGATAAAGATTCTCATTACAAACGGGGTAATTGAAGGCAAACTCTTCTAGCAAGGATTGCGTGCAACATGAAAACGTGAGATTCTCGTGGAATTTGTGTGAACTCAAGCATTATCGTTCTAATGAGCAATTAGGCTACTATACAAAAATTAAATCCTATTTCTTTTTATTGTATCATTTGATAATAGGACGAGTTTTCAGAAGACAAATGGGGAAT